TATTCATGTTTCAGTGAAGGATAACGCTGGTAAGAGTAAGGAACAATGGATGAATAAAGATATTAAGGTTCTAGTCAAGAATAAAAAAAAGAATCTTTTTCTTTAAGATGTAGACAACTTGGTTCAATTGAATCTCTTGATCAATATGAAGAGTGCAGGGGCATTCTTAAGGGAGAAATCAGGTAGGCAAAGAGGGGATATGAGATAGAATTGGCAGATCAAGTTAAGGATAATCCAAAGAGATTCTACAAATACTTTAAGAGCAAGAGGGTAATTAGATAGAGGGTAGGCCCTCTTAAAGACCAAGGAGGTCATCTTCATGTTGAACCCCAGAAGACAGGAGAGATACTCAATGAATATTTCGCGTCAGTTTTTACTGTGGAAAAAGAAATGGAGTCTAGAGAATGCAGAGAAATAAACTTCAATGTTTTAAAAACAGTTCACATTACAGAAGAGAAAGTTAGGGAGGTCTTAGAGAACGTAAAGTTGGATAAATCTCCAGGACCTGATCTAATGTATCCCAGAATGTTATGGGAAGTAAGGGAGGAAGTTACGAAACCCTTTGCAGAAATATTTGCATTATCTATAACTATGGGTGAGGTACCTGATGACTGGGGGGGTGGCTAATGTTGTACCTTTGTTTAAGAAAAGTTGTAAGAAGTAACAATGACCTGTGGGTCTCACTTCACTTGTGCGTAAATTGTTGGAGGTAATTATAAAATATAGGATTTATGGGCATTTAGAGAGGCAAAAATTGATTAGGGATAGTCAGCATGGTTTTGTGCAAAGAAATCATGTCTCATAAACTTGATTGAGTTTTTTGAGTAAGTTACCAAAAAGATTGATTATGCAGAGCAGTAGACATTGTTGATTTGGATTTTAGTAAAGCTTTTGACAAGGTTCCACATGGTAGTATAATTAATAAAGTTAGATCAAATGGAATTCAGAGAGAGCTCACCAATTGGATACGTAATTGATTTAACAGCAGGAGACAGAGAGTAATGGTGAAGGTTGCTTTTCAGACTGGAGGCCTGTGACCAGCAGTGTTCCACAGGGATCGGTTCTGGGTCCTCTTTTGTTTGTCATTTATATAAATGATTTGGATGAGAAAATTTAACGCATTGTTAGTAAGTTTGCAGATGACACCAAAATTGGTGGCATCGTCGACAGTGAAGGTTTTCTAAGGTTACAAAGGAATCTTGATCAAATGGGTCATTGGACTGAAAAATGGCAGATGAAGTTCAAGCTGGATGAATGGGAGGTATTGCATTTTGGTACAACAAACAAGGATAGGGCTTATACAATTAATGGTAGGGCCTTGGGAAATGTTGTAGAACAGAGGGAAGTAGGGGTGAAGATACATAATTCTTTAAAGTTTGTGTCACATCTAGACAGGATGGTTAAAAAGGCATTTGGCATGCTTGTCTTATTGCTCAGTCCTTTGAGTAAAGGAGTTGGGACGTTATGAGGTTGTACATGACATTGGTGAGGCCCCTTGTGGAATACTGTGTTCAGTTCTGGTCACCTGGTTATAGGAAGGATATCATCAAGCTGGAGAGGGTTCAGAAGAAATTTACCAGGATGTTGTCAGATATGGAAGGTTTGAGTTATAAAGAAAGGCTGGATAGGCTGGGACTTTGTTCACGGGAGTGTAGGAGGTTGAGAGGTGACCTGAAAGAAGTTTATGCCCTCTAGTTCTCCTCTAGAGGAGAAGCACCTACTTAAGAGTTCTGTACATTTCGACGAGATCACATCTCATTCTTCTAAATTACAATGAGCCCCAACCTGTTTAACCTTTGCTCATAAGACAGTCCCTCTACACTGGGTATCATCCTCGTGAACCTTCTCTGATCTGCCTCCAATGAAATAAGACCTTTTCTTAAATAAGGGAAACAAAATTGTTCACAGCTCTCCGATGTGGTCTCACTAGCACCTTGTATAGTTGCAATAAGACTTCCCTACTCACACGCTCCAACTCCCTTGAAATAAGGGTCATTCCATTAGCCTTGTCAATTATCTGCTGCACCCATGTACTGGCTTGCTGTGTTTCATGCACAAGCACCCCCAAGTCCCTTTGTTTTGCAGCTTTCTGCAGTTTTTCTCCATTTAAATAATACTCTGTTCTTTTGTTCTTCCTTCCAAAGTGAACATTTTCACATTTTCCCACGTTATACTCCATTTACCAAGTTTTTGCCCATTTACTTACTTAACCTATCAACTGTCTCAGTAATCTGTTGTATCCCTCTGGCAACTTGGCCTTACTTCTATTTTTATGTTGCCTTGCAGATTTGGCTACAGTACACTCGCTACTTTCCTCCAAGTCACTAATATATACTGTAAACAGTTGTGGTCCCAGCACTGCTCACTGTGGAACTCTACTGGTCATAGGTCACCAAACTGAAAAAGATTGCTTTTATCTCCACTCTGTTTCCTGTCCCTTAGTCAATTCACTATCCATGCCAATATATTATCTCCAACACTGTGGACATTTATGAATTAACCTTTTGTGAAGTATCTTCTCAACGTTCAAACACAACAGTGTCTGGTTGAGATTTCTTCAAAAAACTCTTATAAATTAGTCAGACACTATTTCGTTTCATGAAGCTATGCTGACTGTGCTGTTATTTCCTGAATAATTTATTCCAATACTTTTCCAACGATAAATGTGAGGCTAATTGGCTTATAGTTACCTATTTTTACCTCCCTCCCTTTTTGAATAGGGGTGTCACATTGGCAGTTTTCCAATCCTCCGGTCCTTCTCCAGAATTCAATGATTTTGAAAAATTACAACCAATGCATCCACTATCTCTTTAGTTACTTTTTAGGATTCTAGGATACAAACCATCAGAACCAGTGCATTTTGCTGACATAAGATGTATCAAAACTATCTTGCATAACGTGCCTACCCTGATCAAACCATTGTCCGCTGTATAAAATAATGAAAGTGAGCGATATAGTATATGAGTGTTAGTGTTGGTGTGAAGCCAAGTATGTGAGTTGGATGTCCCAACAACAGGTGAACAATGTATCTTTTTGATTGTCCACAGTGAGCAGTGCACCAACCATGCTCAACCAGCCTATGCTTTTCAAAATTCAGAACATAGTATCAAACATTAGATGTAGTTCTGCTATTGGATATCATTGACTAAATAATTGTGACTGTATTATAGAATTACACTGGAAACCAATTTAAAATTATTAGTTGGGCTTGCAATGTGACTCATTTTCGCGTGGTAGAAGCTATATTTATGTTCACTGAAGGTCCTATTCTTCACAGGCAAATGGAATATGTCCACCTTACTCATTGACTAAAGAGCTATGGATATAACCAATCGTGGCTGCACCCCATGGCAATAATCTGACCAATCAGAATCTACCCACCTGCTGAAATTGATAAAGCCAACTATAGTCCAAGCAATCAGCACCTTCCTCTCATATTGAATAAAAGTTTTTTTGTTGCATTTCAGATCTGATGAGTGCAAGATGAAAAGCTTCAAATTCACATCTCTTTTTTAGTAATGTTTAATAGTACCACCAAGCAATTATATAAAAAGGTGTTGTTTGTTGTCTGAATCATAGGAGCATAGGAACATTTGACCAGGAGTCATTCAGCCCGTTTGACCTGCTCTCCTATTCTAGATTATGGCTGATTACCTTCCCCAACTGATTGCTGGGATGGAGAATTCCAAAGTTGCACTCCCTCTTTAGCAAATTTATCCTTCTTTAGGCAAAGGAACCAGAACCACACAAAATACTCCACATACATTCTAACCAGTATTCTATACAATTGAAGCAATAACTCTTTGCTCCTGTACTCAAATCCTGTTGCGATAATGGCTAATATACCATTTACCTTCTCAATGGTTTGCTACAACTTAATTCTCGCTTTCAATGACGTAGGAACAAGGACATCTAGGTAGCGTTTCCTATCATTTTCATCCCAGCAGAGCCAGCCTTGGAGCCCTGTGTTCAGCAGTGACTTCCAGAAGTGGGAGTCAATGACAATCAACATACTGACGTTGAATGATGTGCATGGAACACTGGAGTGACTGTGCACACATGCAGCCATGCTGCTGAAAGGGTTCCTTTGGACATCAATACTTTCCAATCTCTCACCAGTTTAGAAATTTTATTCATCTTTGTTCCTCCTACCAAAATGGATAATCTCACAAGTCTAAGTCCCCCGGATCCTGTTTGTATCTTCCTCACCACTAACATTTCCACCAAGTTTTGTATGATCCACAAATTTGTAAATATTACAATTGGCCCCTACATCCAAATCATTGATATAGATATGAACAGCTGGAGCCCAAGCACTGATCCTTGTGGTAACCTATTGACCTATTGGTTAGCTTGGCTGGACAGCTAGGTTGCTTTGCAGAATGATACCATTAGCGAGTGTGCAATTCCCACATCAGTTGAGGTTACCATGAAAGAATCTCCTTCTCAACCAATCCCCTCACCTGCAGGATGGTGTTCCTCAGGTTAAACCCCTGTCTAATGAAAGAGCAGCCCTATGTATGGTAGGACAATGGCGATTTAACTTTTAATAACCTGAGAATGAACCTATTATTCCTACTCTCTGCTTTTTGTGTGTTAGCTAATCCTCAATCCAGCTAGTATATGATCCCCTGTTCGTTGTGATTTAATTTTGTTTTCTAACCTGTTGTGTGGGACTTTATCAAAGCCTCCTGAAGGTCCGGTTACACCAAATCCTGGCTGTCTGTTATTGACTTTGCTCATAACATCCTCAGAAAATTCTATCACGTTTGTCAAACTTGATTTCCCTTTATAAATCCATGTTGATTCCGTCCAATCAGACATTTATCTTCTACATTTCCAATCATCACACCTTTCTCATAGTTTTTCTGTTCATGATATAAAGCACCAAAATGCTTCAAAGTTGAAGTGGAGAATGGTTAGGTTGTACAATTCTTTTGTTACTTTGTACATATTGTCTTGACATGTGTTAAATAATCCGTTATTGTTGTATTCTTTAGTGCTCCAAGGCTTATTCAAGTGAGTTTTTGGACACGTATGAAGCCCATCATATGGCAGTGGATGCTTTACACTGGAATACATTCCATCCAGATATTTTCATTTCCTGTAGTTCTGATTGGACAGTGAAGATTTGGGATCACAATTTAAAGTAAGTGCAAGTTGAAAAGGCGAGTGCTGTACTGCACCATATGTGACACTGTATCTCACTAATTAGAAAGGACTCTCAATCATTTTGCTTCAAAAACAAAACCAATTTAACTTGTGAAAATACTTTATTTAGCTTTAGAATTTGCAATCTAATCTGTTCATTTGTCATCATAAATTTACTCATATGCTTCCTATTTTACAGCTCCTCTCTCCCCTTTGCAATTTCTTATACCCTGTTTGCAGACCCTCACCACTGCCTCCCACTATTTGCAACGTCACATCTCCCATTTTACAGAGATAGTAGGAACTGCAGATGCTGGAGAATCCGAGACAACAAGGTGCAGGGCTGGATGAACACAGCAGGCCAAGCAGCA